TATATTATATATATATATATATATATATATATATATCCTGGTAATTTGCATTGTTAAATATCTTTTATATATTTATATATATGTATACATATGAAAGATATTTAACAATGCAAATTACCAAGAGAGAACGCGCACAGAATCGATATGATGTTATTGAATAAAACAAATATTTAATATTTTATGATTTTATATTTTATTTTTTTTTTTTTTTTTCTAGTAAGATAAAACTCGTATTTTAAATATTCATTTACTGATATAACACACACATGATACCGATATATTTATTGATAGTGATATTGATCACACATTAATCTTGTCCTTTGTTGGTAAAACGTTAAAGTTTAATTGCGACTTATAAGCAACGTTCATAAGCGGCCAGAAAAGTGTCACAATGAATAAGTAAAAGTTTACTATCGGCGCTCCCTAGCTGAATTATTAATGTTCAATCGATACTGACAGCACGAGCCTATTCGGCTGGTGTTAACGGTGTGCGCGTTTGTGTGTATGTGTGCGTGTATGAGTGAGCGTGAGTATCAGGTTGTCGTTACAAAGACTTTGAATATGGAGAAGCGAAAGTGGAGCGCTTTTTTGTCGCGCCCACGACGGCAACGTACATCATAAATCGCGCGTGCAACGGCACGGGGATGCTGCAGGTGGATGCAGGCTGAATGCAGCGGCTGGCGTTCGTCGTCTGATCGCAAGTGCACGTCTCACCCGATTAAGCACGCAGCGTCGCTGAGCGGCTCGTCGATCGTCCGATCTGTCCGCTCGACGAGTACGCTTAATTTAATAATTGCGCTTTCGTCGCGTTCGGCTGTATGATATCAAGAGCAATATCGATATCAAAATTGAGAGAAAAAGTAAAAATTGAAAAAGAAAAGAAAGAGATGGAAAATTGAAAAAGAAAAGAAAGAGATGGAAAATGATTCTAAAAGTGTGCATTCATTCACTTGATTAATTTACAGAATATTGCTTACTCGGATAAATTCAGGACGTAAATTCAGTGAAAAAAGTTTATTTAATCATTTGAATTGTGATATCCGCTTGAAATTCTAAACTCTAATCGTTTATAGTGTCGCGAGAATAATTTGCGTAAATCGTCGCGAAGGATGAATTTTAAACTGAAGCTGAATGTGTCGGCTGAAGAGTTGTTCGGAAATTGGATTTCGAAATAGTTACATCATTCCGCGCTGAGCTATGTTGAGAACTTTAAGTCATTTATTTTGCGTTTCACGAATTTCCCTTATGTTTACATAGATAGATGTATATCATACAGAATATTCAATGTCGAGAATCTATGAGAGAGGAAGTATATCATTTTTGTGCATCGTGTCGTTTTTATTCGTTGTCAAGTACTTATGCGCAAAAACGAGTCTAGACATGCAACATTTGTTATACCGAATCATTCGTAATCGCTTGCATTGATATTCATATGTACGGGCGTCCTTCCAAAAAAGTTTACTTTGTCGCCTGAAGTCTGAAGTTTCAAGGAAGATCTTGATTTCTCGAGGTCTTGACTTCTCATTCTAAACTCTGTTTATCTTGTGAACATTCCTCCGCATTTCTTGCATGTCAGAACAATTCCTTTGCTGATTGCCATTGTAATGGCCCGATTTATTAAAGTTTTTTCGGTTAAATATATGTGTATATATATATATATATTTAATGTGTATACACATATATAATATATAATATATATATATATAAAATATATTA